AGATAGATAGATAGATAGATAGATAGATAGATAGATAGATAGAGAGAGAGAGAGAGAGAGAGAGAGAGAGAGAGAGAGAGAGAAAGAGAGAGAGAGAGAAAGAACAAGTAAGTTTCCAACGTTGCGGCTTGCCTCACGCGACTTCCATCGATAGGATGACGGCGCGGCGCGAAACAGCCCCGCAGCGAAAAAAGACCCCGTTCATAAAGCTGCGCCAACACCAACTGTGCCACGCGCCTTCCCCCAAAAAAAGTCCAAACACATTGGCCCGCCCGCCCAAGTAGCAGGCCAAAATGTTAAAAAGCGCCCCCCCCCCTCGATTCCAAAAGCGCCCCGGCCCCTCCCTGACTCAAACCTGCACCTATTGTGAGGTTTTTCACCAGTTGTGCTGAGAAACGACTCCACGAGACTTCTTCTCCTTGGGCTCGTTGGGAGCATCTTCCGAGGACCGCTTTTCCCTTTTTAAGTATTACCATCTTCACCCGAATAGAACGCCCGGTCATTACAACCGTATTTGGTGCAATTTTTAGTCCATATACGGCTATAGTGATCGGGCGTTCTATTCTGGTGAAGACGGTAGTAGATAGATAGATATGGAAAACAACTTTCGGCAGCATTTGATGCTTTTTTTTTGCATTTGTTTTGAGTTTTTAATTTGCAATAACTGTGTCACACTGTTGAGCTAGCTCAACTCAGAGGTGTAAATGGAACATGGCCCCGGGGGAACTGTGTCACACCGTTGAGCTAGTTCAACTCAGAGGTGTAAGTGGGATATGGCCCCGGAAGGAAGTACCAAGTAGTATAGGATGATCGGTCGTCCATTTAGTCTGTTGTTATCACTTTTCGTTAAATTTGTTTCTTTTGCAGCTTATCTGATCCATCAAGCTAAGTTTTGCTCTCAGTACGGGGCATTTTTTTTTTTTTTTTCTCTTTTTTTTTTGTAACAATATGGGGTATATTTGCGAGGACCCCGACCTCAATTTCAAAAAAAACAATTCCGGTAAAACACAGTTTATTATAAATTCATATAAAATGAAATTCCACTTGAGGCTGGAGACCTCACAATTCTACCCGGTGTATGCTGGGGCCATTACCCAACTTTGACTTTTCTGGAAACCGGGTTGGACCCCAGCGTCCCAACAAAGGTCCAACTCTGGTCAAGCTTATCCAATCAGACTTGTATTTTATTTTAAACTTACACTTTGGCCCACATTAACCCGAACACATCTGTATTTGAACACTTTCTCACTCAATAGTTCTCAAGGAAGCTTGAACCGCCTAGACGGGTTTCCCACCACGCACCCTTGTTGGATCTTCCTGTTGCAACGATCGCGATGGGTGCAACTCAAGTTTGCTCTTCATCGGGTCTCGCTTACCACGTAGTAACCAATTGTAATGTTCCCGCCGCGCCTTGTCACACTCTCACTGCTTAAGGCGGCGCCGCTGCTAGTTGTTCCATCATGATGAGTTTCACCCTGAACCTCCCTAAACTTGTTCCCCCCAACCCCTCTCTCCATTGTATTAAAACAACTGCAACGAGTTTCAAGTTTTAACAAATAGTAGTCCCTCCCTATCGAACTTCACAACCAACACAAGCGGTCAACAGGTAGATGAAAATTCGGTAATGAAAATTCTGAAGTGAGAGTTTAGGTAGTCTGAAAACCCTGAATGGTCTTGAACTGGTCAAGAAGACCCCGAAAACCACCTGTTTAAACAAGCTGATTCCTGAAGTGGTGAAGGGTGTCTTGAAGTGGTGATGAAAAATATGACTGTTGTTAACCTTCTCTCGTGCTACCCGACACACTACCGTCTTCACCCCAATAAAACACCTGGTCATTATGGCTTCATCTGGACCGATAGTTGTGCCAAATACAACTATAATGACTTGGCGTTCTATTCGGGTGAAGACGGTAGGGTTAGCGGAGATATCTGCTATTAAGCATTCATGGTCTAATCATCATGCACTAATGTCGCTTGAAATATGGGAGGTCTGAAATGGAGCTCGCTGTGAACAAGGTCACCACCCTACTGTCAGGTAATTTTGCCGAGGTGTAACTTCAGTAGAGTCACAAAAAGGAGTTATAATTGCACTATGGGGCAAGATACAGTTTGCAGTAATTGCAGATTGGGAACCCTACCTGGCCAGAAAGGTGGGTTGTATACATTTTGCCAAAACTGCAATTTGAAACTTTATCTTGGCCCATAGTGCAATTATAACTCATTTTTTTCAATTTTTTTGTGACTCCCACGTAGTTTCCGCTTTAAATTTGCCTAATTACAGATAACCTAGTAGAAAGTTTGTGATCCAGTAAAAAAAAAAAAAAAGGTCTAATTACAGGAAACCGCCAAGTAGAAAGTTTGTTATGCAGTCCTTCGGGACATCCGTTAAAATTGGAACGATACAGAGAAGATTACCATGGCCCCTGCGCAAGGATGACACACATAAATCGAGAAATGGTCCAAATTTAAAAAAAGAAAGTTTGTTATGCAATAAACAAGAGGAGAGCATTCAATCGAGAACTCTCACAGTGACACTAGGAAGCCGAAAAACAGAAGGCAATACTGTCGACAGTGTCAGAAGCTGACCTTGGTCGATTTAGACCAAGTGCTGCACAAGTGTTGCGTGAAGAGAAACGCCATAAGGAGAGCTGATTACAACCCAGCACCAAGGAAAAAATTAATAGCCCTTCATCAAGTTTCATGTACAACAAACGCGAGATGCGGTCAGGAAAACACTTATCCCGGTCAGGAAAACACTTATCCCGATGGAGTCTGAGCAAACTAACACGAGATACAATTAGAGAAACACCTTAAAAAAGAGTGAAGGAAAAATAAAGATTTTACTCTTCATACAAACAAATGCATTTGGCCACCCCTTGTGGCAAAATGCATTTCGACAATGGTGTGGCAAGGCCCAAAATGAGCACAAGTCGTTATGGAGTCGGGCACAACGTAAATCTATTAAAAAAAAACAACTGTGGCCATGAAAGAGCATAGTCAAGTTCAAAAAAAAAGAAAAAGAAAAAAGAAAAAAAGAAAAAAAAGAAAAAGAAAAAAGAAAAAAAGAAAAAAAAGAAAAAGAAAAAAGAAAAAAAAAGAGCATAGTGCAAGGAACATGAGTATGGACGAAGCACAAAAATCCAGAATGCAAAATCACACTGAAGTCCAAGTATTCAAAGCCAAAGCAGATAGCACATGGAACCGAGTAACCATCCCATTGAGAATGATACAGAAGAATCGTGAGTCAATGTCCATGCCCAMCAGGGCAACACCAACADCATAACCCAAAYGTMGCTCTCTCTTGTGAATGGCGYCAGGYGCYCTATCTACTCTACAKYCTATCCTACAACTACAGMAATGAACAGCAACCAGACAACTTGACTACCAGCGAGTGATGATGTCAACACCAATGCAGACCTCCACCATCACCAGGTACGTGTCCTCTTCCCCACACTCTCCCTTGTTACSCACACAGCGCCCTTCACCTCCGAAGTACCACCTTCGCCCTTCACCCCTCTGCGCCCTCTGCAGCCCGGCTATGGCCGCCAAGCGCCCAGTGCACAGGCAGCGCCCTACCGCCTAGYGCATGCCTGCCTTGCACTACCTCTTAGCGCAGCGCAACAGCCAGCAGCTCGCATTTGCGCAGCGTGTCGGCATTGCCCGCAATGGCCAAGATCCCCGCTGCCTCGCCCTGCTTGCCTATATGCCAGTGCAGCGTGTGGGCGGCCTCCCTTCAGCCTGTGACCGGGGCCCAGAGGCTGAAGCCAACTCGATACAGTTGGGCCCCGGGGCAATGCAGTTG